AGTCAGCCTGCAGTACGAGTGGACTGGTGGCCACGGGAAGTAATGACAGAGGAGTCAGCCTGCAGTGCGAGTGGACTGGTGGCCAAAGGAGGAAATGACAGGCAAATCAGCCTGCAGTGTGAGTGGACTGGTGGCCAAAGGAGGTAGTGACAGGGGAGTCAGTCTGCAGTGTGAGTGGACTGGTGGCCGTGGGAATGATCGAGAATCGGAGCGTGGCCAGGTGACGGAAGAGGATGGTGGAGTCTGCCGGTAGAGCGAGCGTCTAGAACTAGCGAGAAGGTTCCGGAATGAGGGCGTTGCCTCGGGCCGTATACAAGGGAGACGCACGGAAGACTCAGCGAGGGTCTCCGCCTGTTCGAGTGGGAGCACGTGGCTCCTGATAAATAAAAAAATATATAGTATCTCAAGACAAGTCAAGTCGTCATTACACTAACACCACCACCACTACTACCATCACCACGACTACCACCACATCACTACTAACACCACCACCACTACCATCACCACCACCACGACTACCATCACAACACCACTAACACCATCACCACGACTGCCATCACATCACTACTAACACCATCACCACGACTACCATCACATCACTACTAACACCACCACCACGACTATCATCACATCACCACTAACACCATCACCACGACTACCAACACATCACTACTAACACCACCACGACTACCAACACATCACTACTAACACCACCACCACGACTACCAACACATCACTACTAACACCATCACCACGACTACCATCACATCACCACCACCACGACTACCATCACACCACTACTAACACCATCACCACGACTACCATCACACCACTACTAACACCATCACCACGACTACCATCACACCACTACTAACACCATCACCACTACTACCATCACACCGCTACTAACACCATCACCACGACTACCATCACATCACCACTAACACCATCACCACGACTACCATCACATCACTACTAACACCATCACCACGACAACCATCACATCACCACTAACACCATCACCACGACTACCATCACATCACCACTAACACCATCACCACGACTACCATCACATCACCACTAACACCATCACCACGACTACCATCACATCACCACTAACACCATCACCACGACTACCATCACATCACCACTAACACCATCACCACGACTACCATCACATCACTACTAACACCACCACACGCCTACAATCACATCACCACTAACACCACCACCACGACTACCATCACACCACCACTAACACCATCACCACCACTACCATCACATCACTACTAACACCATCACCACGACTACCATCACACCACTACTAACACCATCACCACGACTACCATCACACCACTACTAACACCATCACCACTACTACCATCACATCACTACTAACACCATCACCACGACTTCCAACACATCACCACTAACACCATCACCACCACTACCACGCCCACCACTCCCCCCCACTCACCACTCTCATCACTCACCACTCCTCACCGTCACTCACCACTCCCCCCACCACCTATCACTCACCACCACCACTCACCCACTCACCACCACCACTCACCCACCCCACCACTCACCCACCACCACTCACCACCACTCACCCACCCCACCACTCACCCACCCCACCACTCACCCACCCCACCACTCACCCACCCCACCACTCACCCACCACCACTCACCACCACCACTCCCCCACACCACCACTCACCCACCCCACCACTCACCCACCCCACCACTCACCCACCCCACCACTCACCCACCACCACTCCCCCACACCACCACTCACCCACCCCACCACTCACCCACCCCACCACTCACCCACCCCACCACTCACCCACCCCACCACTCACCCACCCCACCACTCACCCACCCCACCACTCACCCACCCCACCACTCACCCACCACACCACTCACCCACCACACCACTCACCCACACCACCACTCACCCACCCCACCACTCACCCACCCCACCACTCACCCACCCCACCACTCACCCACCCCACCACTCACCCACCCCACCACTCACCCACCCCACCACTCACCCACCCCACCACTCACCCACCCCACCACTCACCCACCACACCACTCACCCACCACACCACTCACCCACCACCACTCACCACCACCACTCCCCCACACCACCACTCACCCACCCCACCACTCACCACCACCACCACTCACCCACTCCACCCCACCACTCACCCACCCCACCACTCACACCACTCACCCACCCCACCACACCACTCATCCACCCCACCACCTCACCCACACCACCACTCACCACCACAACTCACCCACCCCACCACCACTCACCCATCCCACCGCACCACTCACCCACACCACCACTCACCACCCACACCACTACTCACCCACTCCACCACACCACTCACCACCACCACTCCCACACTCACCCGCCCCACCACACCACTCACCCACCACACCACTCACCACCACCACCACCACCAATCACCCACCCCATTCACCACCACCATTCACCCACACCACCACTCACCACCACCACACCACTCCACACCACCACTCACCACACCACCACTCCACCACACCACTCACCCACCACACCACTCACCCACCCCAACACTCACCCACCACACCACTCACCCACCCAAACACTCACCCACCCCACCACTCACCCACCCACCCCACCACTCACCACCACACACCCACTCCACCACCGCACTCACCCACCCCACCACTCACCCACCCCACCACTCACCCACCCCACCACTCACCCACCCCACCACTCACCACCACACCACCCACCCCTCACCCACCCCACTCACCCACTCCACCCCACCACCACCACTCACCACTCCCACACTCACCACCACCCCACCACCACCCCACCCCTCACCCACCACCCCACTCACCCACCCCACTACCACACTCACCACCACCACTCACCACCACCACTCACCACCACCACTCACCACCACAACACCACTCACCACCGATGCTGTGCGGAACGTCTCCCGAGTCGAGGATCCCGAATCCCTCTCCATCCATCGCCCCCACGTCTCCCTCCATCACCGCTCCACCCCCCATCACCATCCCCATCATCCCCGCCGCTCCGCCACCACCACCACCACTCCCACACTCACCACTCCCCACCACACAACTCACCACCACCACTCCCACACTCACCACCACCACTCCCACACTCACCACCACCACTCACCCACCCCACCACCACTCACCCACCCCACCACTCACCACCACTCACCCCACCACTCACCACACCACTCACCCACCCCACCACTCACCACACACCACCATCACTCACCCCACCACTCACCCACCCCACCACTCACCCCACCACTCACCACACCACTCACCACCGATGCTGTGCGGAACGTCTCCCGAGTCGAGGATCCCGAATCCCTCTCCATCCATCGCCCCCACGTCTCCCTCCATCACCGCTCCACCCCCCATCACCATCCCCATCATCCCCACCGCACCGCCACCACCACCGCCGCCACTCCCACACTCACCACACCACTCACCCACCCCACCACTCACCACCACACACCACTCACCCACCCCACCACTCACCACACCACTCACCCACCCCACCACTCACCACCACACCACTCACCCCACCACTCACCACCACCACTCACCCACCCCACCACTCCCACCCCACTCACCACCACACACCCACCACCCACACCACTCACCCACCACCCCACCCACCACACCACTCACCCACCACACCACTCACCCACTCCACCACTCACCCACCTCACCACTCACACCACTCACCCAATCCACCCCACCACTCACCCACCCCACTCACCCACACCACTCACCACTCCCACACTCACCACCACCACTCCACTCACCCACCCCACTCACCCACACCACTCACCACCACCACTCACCCACTCCACCCCACCACCACCACTCACCCCACCACTCCCACACTCACCACCACCACTCACCCCACCACCACACCACTCACCACCACCACTCACCCACTCCACCCCACCACCACCACTCACCCCACCACTCCCACACTCACCACCACTCACCCCACCACCACACCACTCACCACACCACTCACCACCGATGCTGTGCGGAACGTCTCCCGAGTCGAGGATCCCGAATCCCTCTCCATCCATCGCCCCCACGTCTCCCTCCATCACCGCTCCACCCCCCATCACCATCCCCACCATCCCCGCCGCTCCGCCACCACCACCACCACTCCCACACTCACCACACCATCCACCCCACCACTCACCCACTAAACCACCACTCACCCACCACACCACTCACCACCACCACACCACTCACCCACCCCACCACTCCCACCCCACTCACCACCACCCACCACTCACCCACCACCCCACCACACCCACCCCACCACTCACCCACCCCACACACCACTCACCCACCCCACTCACCACCACCACACCACTCACCCAATCCACCCCACCACTCACCCACCCCACCCCACTCACCCACACAACTCACCACACCACTCACCCACTCCACCCCACCACCACCACTCCCACACTCACCACTCCCACACTCACCACCACCACTCCACTCACCCACCCCACCACTCCCCACCACTCACCCACCCCACCACTCACCACCACCACTCACCCACCACTCACCACCACCACTCACCCACCCCACCCCACTCACCACCACACACCCACCACCCACACCACTCACCACCACCACACTCACCACACCACTCACCCACTCCACCACTCACCCACCTCACCACTCACACCACTCACCCAATCCACCCCACCACTCACCCACCCCACTCACCCACACCACTCACCACACCACTCACCCACCCCACCACTCACCACCACACACCACTCACCCACCCCACCACTCACCCACCCCATCACTCACCCACCACTCACCCACCCCACTACTCACTACCACCACCATCACTCACCCCACCACCACCACCATCACTCACCCCACCACTCACCACCACCACCACTCACCACCGATGCTGTGCGGAACGTCTCCCGAGTCGAGGATCCCGAATCCCTCTCCATCCATCGCCCCCACGTCTCCCTCCATCACCGCTCCACCCCCCATCACCATCCCCATCATCCCCACCGCTCCGCCACCACCACCGCCGCCGTCTGCCGCAGCAGCAACAGCCGCCGCCATCATCACGCCCTCGGCCATGCCCTCGATGCCGGCCATCTCGCTCTCCTGCTGGGCTAGGAAGGCGGCCGCGGGGTCCTCATCGCCTCCACCACCACCACCTCCACCACCGCCTCCGAGGGTGGCGGGGCTCGCCATCGCAGCGTGGTCCACTCCTGCAGCGAACGCCGCCGAAGGAGCCGCGTCGCTAGCGAAGGCGGCGTCGAAGGCGTCCGACATGGCCGGAGATTGGTGGTTGTGGTGGTGGTGTGGGTGGTGGTGGTGTGGGTGGTGGTGGATGTGTGGTGGTGGTGGTGTGGGTGGTAGTGATGTGTGGTGGTGTGGGTGGTGGTTGGTGTGGTGATGGTGATGTGGTGGTGATGGTGTGGTGGTGGTGGTCAGGTGATGGTGGTTGTGTGATGGTGGTGGCTGTGTGGTGAGGTGATGGTGGATGTGTGGTAGTGCCGAGGTGGTGGTGAGAGACGAGGTGGTGGTGAGAGACGAGGTGGTTGAGAGAGAGACGAGGTGTTGGTGAGAGATGAGGTGGTGGTGAGAGACGAGGTGGTGGTGAGAGACGAGGTGGTGGTGAGAGACGAGGTGGTGGTGAGAGACGAGGTGGTGGTGAGAGACGAGGTGGTGGTGAGAGACGAGGTGGTGGTGAGAGAGACGAGGTGGTGGTGAGAGAGACGACCGAGAGACGCAGAAGACGACGAAGCTGACGCTGATAATGCTGATGATGATGGCTAAGGGCGGGGATCTGCGCGCGTTTCGGTGGCGATCTTCCGGAAGATGCCGCGCGCGCCCACCACCCCATAGACTCCTGCAGTAGTTGCTTCTTCCGGAATCGGAAGATATCTTCCGGAAGATGCCGCGCGCGCCCACCACCCCATAGACTCCTCCAGTAGTTGCTTCTTCCGGAATCGGAAGATATCTTCCGGAAGTAGCCGCGCACTCCCATTAACTCTCTTCCGGAAGATGTCTTCCGGAAGCGGCAGACTACTTCCGGAAGATGCGCGCGTGGCCAACCCCCCCCTCCCCCCCCGTAGACTCCTTAAAGGGTTCTGCCACTTCCAGAAGTTGCGCCTGAGACCACGGGTTTCCCTCTTCCGGAAGACGTCTTCCGAAATCGGAAGACATCTTCCGGAAGCAGGAAGCCGGAACTCCGCAGTGAGTCGAGAAGCCCCCACACACCCCACCATCTTCCTTATTCCGGAAGACATCTTCCGATTTCGGTAGACGTTCTTCTTATTCAGGAAGACGTCTTCCTGAATCGGCAGATGGGTGTGTGTAACTCGACCCATTGCGGAGTTCTGTCTTCCGGAAGATCTCTACCGAGATCGGTAGACATCTTCCGTCTTCCGGAATTAGAAGTTGGGGTCTTCTCGGTCCGCTGCGGATTTCCGGCTTTCTTCTTCCGGTAGACGACTTCCGGTTTGGTAAACAATTTTACTTAATAATGATTATTAAACCTATTCTTGGTTCATGTTCTTGGTTCTTTCGGTAAAGTCACGTAGAAGGGAAACGACAAAATAAGAAAAATATAAAACAGTAAAATTCATCTGCTTGGTTCTTTCGGTAAAGTCACGTAGAAGGGAAATAAAGTAATAAAAATAAAGCACGTTTTTTATTATTTAGTAATATTAATAATATGTTTTATATTTTATTATTATTTTATTTCCATTCTACGTGGTGGTGACTTTGCCGAAAGAACCAAGAAGATGAATCCCTGCAGTCACGAAAGCTTTAAATCGAAATAAAATTCATCATCATCATCATCACTGATTTTTTTTTCTTGCTGTGGTTTTGCACACCTGATGATGATCGCTTGTGTTGCAGTCGAAACGTCGTGAGAATTTAATTGTTTTATATTTTTATTATTTTATTGTTTCCCTATCTACGTGGTGGTGACTTTACCCAAAGAACCAAGAATAATAATTTTATTGTATTACAATAATTTTACTGTTTTAGATTTTTATTATTTTATTGTTTCCCTACTACGTGGTGACTTTACCGAAAGAACCAAGAATAATAATTTTATTGTTTTACAATAATTGTATTGTTTTATATTTTTATTATTTTATTGTTTCCCTATCTACGTGGTGACTACCGAAAGAACCAAGAATAATAATTGTATTGTTTTATATTTTTATTATTTTATTGTTTCCCTTCTACGTGGTGGTGACTTTACCCAAAGAACCAAGAATAATAATTTGATTGTTATACAATAATTTTATTGCTTTATTTTTTATAATTTTATTGTTTCCCTTCTACGTGGCGGTGACTTTACCCAAAGAACCAAGAATAATATTTTTTTTATTTTATATTTTTATCATTTTACTGTTTCTCTTCTACGTGGTGATGACTTTACCAAAAGAACCAAGAATAATAATTTTATTGTTTTACAATAATTTTATTGTTCTATGTTTTTATTATTTTATTGTTTCCCTTCTACGTGGTGGTTACTTTACCCAAAGAACCAAGAATAATAATTTTATTGTTTTACAATAATTTTATTGTTTTATATTTTTATTATTTTATTGTTTCCCTATCTACGCGGTGGTGACTTTACCCAAAGAACCAAGAATAATAATTTGATTGTTATACAATAATTTTATTGCTTTATATTTTTATTATTTTATTGTTTCCCTTCTACGTGGTGGTGACTTTACCCAGAGAACCAAGAATAAGAATTTTATTGTTTTATATTTTTATCATTTTATTGTTTCCCTATCTACGCGGTGGTGACTTTACCGGAAGAACCAAGAATATGAATTCCCCTGCAGTCACGAAAGCTTCAAATCAAGAGATTCCAATTGTTTGCCAAACCGGAAGTCTTATAATCAGCAATTCTTTTAGGGACGAGATTAAGCTCGGTCATGGGACCTTCTGACGTCCTCTGGCCTAACACCGTTTTGAGACGAGGCTCAGAAAAAAAAAGCTGCCTCTGGTTGTGGACCAATCGGTTTCAAGGACTATGCGTGAACTACCCATTGGTCTTTGTTTCGGTAAAGTCACGTGCGTTAGAAATGCCACGAAATTGCGTTAAAACAAAAATCAATCACGACGTTTCGATCGCAACACAAGCTGTCTTCAAATCGCTTTAAACTATTGTCACATTGTAGTAGTGCGTATTTAATGTGGCGCTGCACTCTGATGTTGTAGGAGAAAACATTTATTTAAAAAAAGTCTATTTAATTAAGCTAGAACGTATTCTTGGTTCTTTCGGTAACGTCACCACGTAGAAGGGAAACAATAAAATAATAAAAATATATAAAACAAAATTATTGTAAGACAATAAAATTATTATTCTTGGTTCTTTCGGTAAAGTCACCACGTAGAAGGGAAATAATAAAATAATAAAATATAAAACAATAAAATTATTATTCTTGGTTCTTTGGGTAAAGTCACCACCACGTAGATAGGGAAACAATAAAATAATAAAAAATATAAAACAATAAAATTATTATTCTTGGTTCTTTCGGTAAAGTCACCACCACGTAGAAGGGAAACAGTAAAATAATAAAAATATAAAACAATAAAATTATTGTAAAGCAATAAAATTATTATTCTTGGTTCTTTTGGTAAAGTCACCACCACGTAGATAGGGAAACAATAAAATAATAAAAATATAAAACAATACAATTATTGTAAAACAATAAAATTATTATTCTTGGTTCTTTCGGTAACGTCAGAGACCCATACTCACAAAGACCCACAGAGAGACCCATAGTCATAGAGACCCATAGAGACCCATACTCAGAGACCCATACTCAGATACCCATAGAGAGCCATACTCACAAAGACCCACAGAGAGACCCATACTCACAGAGACCCATAATCATAGAGACCCACAGAGACCCATAGTCATAGAGACTCATACTCACAGAAACCCACAGAGACCCATACTCAGAGACCCATAGAGACCCATACTCAGAGACCCATAGAGACCCATACTCAGAGACCCATACTCAGAGACCCATACTCAGAGACCCATAGAGACCCATACTCAGAGACCCATACTCAGAGACCCATACTCAGAGACCCATACTCAGAGACCCATACTCAGAGACCCATACTCAGAGACCCATAGAGACCCATAGAGACCCATACTCAGAGACCCATACTCAGAGACCCATACTCAGAGACCCATACTCAGAGACCCATAGAGACCCATACTCAGAGACCCATAGAGACCCATACTCAGAGACCCACAGAGTCCCATAGAGACCCATACTAAGACCCATACTCAGAAAAGCTGTAAATATTTAATTTCCTGAATCTTCTGATTCTGGAAGACGTCTTCCAGAAGTTCTCTTCTGGAAGACAAGCGGCGAAAGCGAACAAGAAAACCAGCGGAAGATGCTTCCGGAAGATGTCTTCCGGAAGAGGCTGCGTCCTCTCGCCCCGCAATGCGCATGCGCGGGAGTCACGCGGCCGCAGTCGGCGCGCGCGGAAGTCCACGTGACTACCCCCGCCCCTCACCCCATCGCCCCGCCCCTCGCCTCCCCCCCTCTCCCTGCCCCACCCCCGCTTAATCCCCCCTCACTCGCCCCACCGCTTCCGTCGCTAGGCAACGGTTGCCATCTTAGGAAGGTTCGGAGGCCCCGCCCAACGCCGCCCTGTCAATCATCTCCCGGCTGCCCATGACGTCACCCACCGTGTTGCGAAGCGTTTGGTGACATCGGCAAACCGCTCGAGAGTGGCGGACGACGTCATCCACCATTTCAAGCTGTCAGCTACGTCACCGCTCGAAAAGGTGATGACGTCCCCCAACGTGCTGTTATGCTGCCGATGACGTCACCGCTTGGAGCGGCGGATGACGTCACCTACCACGAAGAGGGACCCCGCGGCCCACAACAAAGGAGGCGAGTGACGTCGCTGGTCTACGTCATCGCTGCCTTTGCGAGACACTGAAGGGGGGGGAGGTCCCTGCCGCCATCTTGGGTGGGGGTGACCCCGCTGAACCATATCGCGATAATTGTTAACAATATCGTGATATCGTCGAAGACTACCTCGCCTGGTCTACAGGAGGTCGTGGGTTCGATCCTGACAATGGGGAGATGTTGACTACCTCGCCTGGTATACAGGAGGTCGTGGGTTCGATCCTGACAATGGGGAGATGTTGACTACCTCGCCTGGCCTACAGGAGGTCGTGGGTTCCATCCTGACAATGGAGAGATGTTGACTACCTCACCTGGTATACAGGAGGTCGTGGACCCTGACAATGGGGAGATGTTGACTACCTCGCCTGGTATACAGGAGGTCGTGGGTTCGATCCTGACAATGGGGAGATGTTGACTACCTCGCCTGGCATACAGGAGGTCGTGGATCCTGACAATGGGGAGA